AGGGAGAATAAAAGCCATCACTTTGTGCTGCTGAATTCCACACATCGTGACATAATGGGAAAGCCTGGCTGGCACCGAATCTCAGCGCCCCACTAAACTTGTGTGACCTTGAATTAAATACCTTGCTATGCAGAAAGAGGACTGATAGACTCTTGCCCCCACAGGCTTCAAAGGGGACAGGATGTGCTAGCCCAAAAAAAAAAAAAAAAAAAAAAAAAAAAAAAAAAGTATAGAGCAACTGCATGGGGAGGAGCCAAGTTCCTGGCACCTGATCCCGCCTCTCTCCAGATTAGATGCTGCGCTCGGGCCTGCCAGAGAAACTGACCTGATTTGGAAAGGAGAGCCAGGGACCAGCCAGGAATTCAGATCCCTAGGAGGTGCTATAAATAGCCAGCATTGGCCAGAGAGCCTGGGGGTAGGGAGTGGGGAGGAGAGCCTGGAAAGGAACAGTGGAAAAGGAAGCTGTCAGTCCTCAGTCTGGGGAAAGGCCCAGAGCAGTCCCCAAAGAGGTCTAGGGGGAAATTATCCATAGAAGCAAGTGCCAGCCTAGGCCACCTCTTCACTCTCCCCCAGAGTCACTAAGAGCCATGGGGGAGGGAGAGGGTCAGAAAACTCTTGCCAGAGCTCATCACCAGCACCCCATGGGCTTTGCCCACCCTACGCCATCATCTCCATTCCTTGGAGCAACAGCTCAGTAGCTTGAGAGGGAGACCAAGGCCCAGAGATGTGAAGTAGTTGTCTAAGTTCCCACCCTGAATCAGGCTAAGGTGGGATTTGTTCCCTTCCTAAGCCAAGGTTATACATGAGAACCAAGATGTACGAACATGTCCTTAGGGACAAAGTCCTACCCTGAGAACCCGTGAGCAGACAGGATTATCCTCCAGAGACCAGGGACTCTCCTATTCCACATCACCATAGCTAAAAAGAGGGTGAGGCACTCGTATTTACAATGCTTTATTTTTCCATGTCTTGTGCGTGTTTATAGTATGTGTGTGTTTATGCAGTTTTTAAAATATGTCTGGGCATATTTGCTCATGTGCCCTAGCTGGTATCAGGAGTCAGCCTCCATCGCTCAGAGCACACAATACGTCTTGCCATGGTGGTCAGATCGCTCTGGGGATCCCATCTCTGCCTTCTGAGGCTGGAACTGTAGGTGAGAGAAGACACAGGCCTGGCATTCTGTGTGTTATGGGGACACAAACTCTGGTCCTCAGGCTTGTGTGGTAATCCCTTTACCACTGAGCCATCCTTCCCAGCCTCGTGTTTATAACACTTCAGAGATGGTGAGTAAGAGGTGCCTGGATGCAGCCCTAGAAATGAGACTGGACCTAGGCTCAGAAGACCTGAACACAAACCCATGTTGATCTTACGCAAATCAATTTCCCTTTCCAAGCATTCATCCCCTCAACTTACAAAGTGAGCCCAATAATTCACGTGTGAGACTAAATGAGATGAGGCATGCTTGAACGCCTGATTAATGCCCCAGATGTTATAGACTCAAGCCCTGCATATCCATCTCTACATTCTTGATATTCACTATGGCACCTGGCACATAGGAGCTCTCGCTAAATGTTGATTAAATCGAAGAATGGAGTAAATGCTTTGCATCTAAATGCTGTATGCTTATGTCATAACAAATGCTCTTGGCTATTTATCAGCTGTTACTGACATTGCATTGTGGACTGGGTACTTCCCTCCATCCTGTGTTTGAGTCTCTTGAGAAATCTTATATTTTAATTTCCGGACACAAATACTATCAGTAGTCAATTTAATATGTAGGACAAACATGTAAATTGTTGTCCTACTAGAAAACCTCAGGTAGCATTTGTAGTCATTCTGATGGGATAGCAGGGAGACAATATGAGCATCTTGGGAACTAGAAATGCTCAGAGCCTCACTAATGGTGCACAAAGCAGCTCCGAACTCTCTGGAAAAGGGAGTTTTTCCTTTCCCACCCATCCTGAGATCCTACATTTCTCTTCTGTAGTCTGACCCTAGACCACTTCCCAAAAATACCTTAAAAAAAAAAAAAAAAAACCAGTCTCATGTAGGCTGTAAGGCTGGTTCTAATCTTGCTACATAGCCAAAGATGATCTTGAGCTTCTGGTCCTGCTTCTCAGTGCTGCACTTATGCCTGGTTAATTTGGTGTGGGAATCAAACTTAGGGCTTTAGCATGCTAAGCAAGCACTCTACCAAGTTCTGTACCCAGCCTCCCTGCCTGCAACCAATATTTTTAGGGTCCTTATTTCAACCAGCAGGTGGTCTTGGCCACTTTTTTGTTTCCTTGAGAATTCTAAAGCATTTGTATCACCCCAAATATAGAAACTTGGGGGGCTGCTAAGCACTCAACACATGAGCTACACACTGCTCAGCTGTCCTCCAATGCCATTCTAGCATTCTAGCTCAATTCTTTCTCTGTCTGGTTTGATTGATCTTCTAATGAGTCCCTCAGTACAGTATAGTATAGTATGGTATAGTATAGTACAGTATAGATGATATATTATAGCTTCTAGAAGAGTCTCGAATAGCCCAGGCTGGCCTCATACTCAGAATATAGTCAGTGCTGGCCTTGAACTCCTGATTTTTCTGCCTCCTTCCCCCAAATGCTGGGAGCTCAGCTGTGCACCACTACACTGATCCTGCAAAACCAGAAGTGGAATGTGTATCTCAGCTCAGTGACAATGGCTCATCCACATCCTGTTCTCCCTCTGGCTTCCGTCCTAAGACTCTCCAGCCACTTAGGTGCCCTTATCACTTCCTCAAACACAGCAGGAACTCTCAGACCCTCTATAGCCACACCTGGAAATCCCCCTGTACACATCTCTCCCTACCTCCTCATCCACCCTCTCTACCTCCTCTGGGAACACTTTCCCTTTAGATAGGCATATGAATGCTTCCTTTATCTCCTTCACAGTGCTCCCTGTTTCTTTCCAAAGTCCTTTCCTATTAAAATCTAATCTAAGCTGGAGACGTAGCTCAGTGTTAAGAGCACATATTGCTCATGCAGAAGACCTGAGTTCAATTCCCAGTACCCACATGGGTAACTCATAACCTCCCATAACTTCACCTCCAATGTATCTGAAGCCTTCTTCTGACCTCTGCAGACACCTGAACTCACATGCATGTATACACACAGTGAGACATACACATAAGCACACAATTAAAAATAAAAAAATAAGGGCCAAGCCAGGCAAGGTGGTGCATACCTTGAATCCCAGCACTTAGAAGGAAGAGGTAGGAGACTCTTTTTGAGTTTGAGGCAAGCCTGGTCTACAGAGCAAATTCCAGGATAGCCAAAACTGTTACACAGAGAAACCCTGTCTTAAAACAAATAAATAAGTAAAAAGAAAATCCAGGCTTAGTGGTGCACACCTTTAATCTAAGTACTGGGGAAGAAGAGATGGATCTCTGTGAGTTTTGAGGCCAGCCTGGTCTACAGGGAGAGTTCCTGGGCTATGTAGGAGATCCTATAACAAACAAATAAAAAGTAAACACCTTTTAAAAAGTGATACCATCCTTTGTCATTTTTGGAACACTCCTTGCCTGTTTCCCCCAGCACTTACCAAAATATACCACATATTTTACTTAGCTTATTTGGCAGCTGATGCCTGCAAGCTCTATGAGAGAGGGCTCTCCTTTGCTTAACAGTTTTTTGGACTGTTCTGCACCTCCATGCCTAGATCAATTCCCAGCAGAGAGCATCTTCTCAGTAAATGTTTGTCAAATGAGCACAGGACTAATGAAGGGGATGAAGTCTGAACATTTGCCCTTTGCACTAAATGGGATTTTAATCCTACCAACTCCATTTTGGGTCTATAAGACCTCAAGCAAGCACAGTAACCCTTTTGTGAGTCTCAATGTCCCCATGTTTAGTGTGGCAAGAACACACATTGCCTCCCAGGGCTATGGAGAGTCTTACATACACTTTTATGGGTAAACCACTAAACCACTACCAGGCTCATTTAGAAACTCTGGAACTCAGTAAACTGAGTACCCCTAAAGCTATAGGATTAGTGGTCAGCAGCTGGAGAGAATCCTCAATCGTGAAAACCGGAGTTTGGATCCCAGCACCCACAGAAAAAGCTGGGTGGCCTTGAAACACCTGCAAACCCAGCTCAGAGCAGTGCAGAGACCTGAGGGTGACTGGGGCTTACTGGCTTCTAGTACAATTCTGATAATGTGAGACATAGGCTTAAGGAGGTACCCTGCCTCAAAGAAATAGGTGAAGAGCAATAAATGAAGACTCCACTCCTGGGATCCTCTTCTGGCCACCGTACATACAGTTGAGCATGCTCTCACAGATTCTCTCTCTCTCTCTCTCTCTCTCTCTCTCTCTCTCTCTCACACACACACACACACACACACACACACACACAGCTTTAAAAGAAAAAAGACCAGTAGTCAACTGATGCTGCAACCTGAACTCACAACAAGCATATACAACATAAAGTAGAAACTGACATTCTCATTTCAAACCATTGGTTTCTATCTCATACCCTCTAAGAGCTCCTTTACTGGACCCAGGTTACCCCGACGGGCATGGTTGGGTCTCCACAATTCCCTGCATCATCATAGGCCTCATCCTGTTTAAAACACTACCAGGTCTTCTTCCCAAAAGCTCAGTTGAGTCAGGGTAGGAGCCACCTGAGAACATAGGGTGAGAGGGGAAAGGTGGGGGAGAGTTGGCCCAGCCCTCCCCACCTGCCAGCTTCCTGTCTGCCTGCTGATAAATAGGGGAAGAAACATGGCCAGAGTTTCCATTCCCCCACCCTTGTCACCCGCCAGTCATTCAGTTAAAAAAAAAGATGAGAGAGACAGCTCCAGGGGAGGGAGGGGTGAGGGCCCTGGTTATAAAGCGTGCAGCTGAGGGGCAGAGCACCAAGCCTGGTCCTCTTGCTGTCATCCCCAACCAGGCTTAGCTGCTGACAGCTGCTTGGGACTCTGCCGCGAGGGCCCGGCTGTCATCGCAAACCCGCTGCTTCTCAGCCATAGTTCCTCCATGGCTCAGAAGGAAGAGGTCCCTGAGGCTGCAGCGCAGGCCTCCCAGAATGGAGAAGATCTGGAGAACCTGGAAGACCCTGAGAAACTGAAGGAGCTCATCGACCTGCCGCCCTTCGAGATCGTCACTGGGTGAGCCTTGTGCGGGGGCTGTGGTTTCCTGCCTGGGAGAGTGTGGAATCTGAGCAGGCTGTGGAAGGTTAGGACGAGAATAGTAGGGCCAAGGTCAGACACAAGCTCTGTGCCCAGCATCCTAGCAGGGGGCTTCAGGGCAGCAAATGCCTCCTTTCTTTTTTTTTTCTCCTGAGGCAGGGTTTCACCATGTAACTTTGGCTGACCTGTATCTCACTATGTAGACCAGGCTGGCCTTGAATTCACAGAGATCCTCCTGCCTCTTCCCTTTCGTTGCTGGGATTAAAGGTGTGTGCCACCAGATCCAGCTACTCTTGGTTTCTTGAGGTGACACTTTGGACTCTGTAATCAGTAGGAGGTGGGAGTGGGGAGTACCTCTGAGGAAGGTACCCACAGAATGAAACTACAGGAAGCTTTCTTGGTGACAGTTTCTGATGTGCAAAGGCAGAATGGTACCTTACTGAGAGAAGCCTCAGACGGGATGGTGGTGTGGATACGGTGGAGAGAAGAGAGAGTCCTGGTGGCCACCTGGACCTGTGCATATAACCCACTCCCAAGAAGTTTGGTGAGAATGGCACATTAGAGGACAGTCCCATCAAGACAGTCATCCCAGACTGCAGACATTAGGAGCTTATTCACAGAGAAGCCATCCCACAAGCTCAGCACAGCCTAGAGCAATTGCACCCAGATCAAACAGTCTCCCTGAGGGAGAGACATATTCAGGGTCCCCTCTTGTCCAGATTGTACCATCTCCAGAAATGAACAATAGTAGCCATCTTCCTCATCTTTCTATTCCAAGAGAGGAAGAGGCTGCTCAATTCAAAGCAGAGATGGACTAGAGGCAGGTTTCCTCCCTGAACCGTATGTGGTTCCCTTCATGGCAGTCTCCAGCAATGTGCAAAGGTGGGGTGGAGGCACGCAGAGTCCCTGGAGGGACAAAGCCATGCACCAGTAGTAGTTTGGACTTGCTGTTTTATGCTTGATGTGTAATGCCTTAGGCTGGCCTCCATGTTCCTATTTCTAACACGAGGAAGCTCACCCGACTTGATTCTTAATGTCCCTTCCTGCTCAGATATTTTCTGACTTCTGAGAGAGCCCAGGGGAAATGTAGTTTGGTTCCTGAGATGTGAGTAGCTATTGAACTTCCCTTCACTCTTGCTCTGCCAGCTAATCCTGCTCTCGTTCTAGGATTAAGAGAACAGCTGGGCACAGACCAATATAGACACAGGGAAAGCCCAGGGCAAACAAGCCAGCAGGGTCCTCAACTCCCATGGCTTGCCTATGGTAGAGGATCCTTTTACTGACACCTAAGTATGCTGGGCCATGCTGTCCTGGGCCACTCACATACTTTTCGCTCTGTGCAGCTTGTGATTTCCCAGGTACAGGAGCAAGGTGAGTCAACAACAAAGTTAGAATGTTGATTTGAACATACACTGGGGTCCCAGGGCAGTGGGGACTGAAGGTTCTCAGAAGTAGTTGACACAGTCAGGAGAGTGTGTTTATTTGCCCTCAGGATAATCCAGAGAGAGAGAGAGACAGAGACAGAGACACACAGAGAGAGACAGAGACAGAGACAGAGAGACAAGGAGAAAGGAGGGAGAAAGGAGAACCAGACTCAGGCAGACTGAACAAGATACCTAAGACCAAGGAACCAGGAAGTGTCAGGTCCTGGACTTTTAGCCAAGCTTCTTGCCCACAGTTCTCCCATGGCAATGAGTTACAGGTTTCCCAAAGCTCAGAGAAAGTGGCACAGAGGGGCATGGTTCTGGGTCTCTGAGAGCACTCCTGGATGGAGGTGGAGCTCTGAGTGTTTCCTAGACACATGGAAGAGTTGTGGTGATCTGTCCCCTAGGCCTCTCTGGATAAACAGATACTTAAAATAGCCTAGAGGTGTGGCCTTGTCTTTGCAGGGCCAGGAAAGATGGCTGCCCTTTCCTTCCCTTTGCAAAGGACCAGGGAAGCCACTAGTCTAGACTCCTAGTCTAGACTCCACAGGGAACCAGTCTCAAATGCTCCTCAGATTGAAGCTAGCAGAAGAGCAGGGGGTGCTTGTCAGGGAACTGTCTGGAGCCAGGAGGGTTTGTAGAGGAATGAAGGGAGAGATGTGTCTGTGGTGATTCTGTCTACATAGGGTGCTTTGAATAGAAAGAAAGCAGACCTGAGCACAAGCCCAAGAAAGATGGCAGAAGATTCTAGAAAAGGGTCTAAACCCACAGGGTGTGCTGAAGCCAGACCCTCCCATCTGGAGAGCAGATTCTGCCCTTCTCTTCCTCCTCCTGTGTCCAGTGGTTCCCACTCATACTTTGAGATCTCCATAGCATAGGGCTTACATGAAAGAAATCAGCATCTGATGGACTGGCAAATGGCTCAGCAGGTAAAGGGGGCTTGCCACAAAAGCCTGGCAACCTGAGTTCTGTTCCCAGAACCCACATAAAGGTGGAAGGAGAAAACTGATTCCACATAATTGTCCTCTAGACTCCAAACAGGTAGCATGACATGCACAGACTGGTGTCCACACCACACATCATGTGCAACACACACACACACACACACACACACACACACACACACACACACACACACACACACAAGAAAAATCAGCACACATTACAACTTGGGTTCTTTTTTCCTCTTTATGTCAGAAAGCTGGGTATATTTGTCTCAGTTCCAGAAGTTTCTCTTTCTGTGCTTTGGCTAAGCTTAGGATGGCTGTTTGAAAAGTATAACTTGAGACTTAGTGACAGCATCATCCACCAATACCAGCTATGATTTCAGGTGTCTACTATTGTTCAAAATCTGAGAAGTTGGATTACTTAATCATTGCATATAGAAAATAAACCTCGGAGGGACAGGGACTTTGCTCAAGGTTGGTCAGAGTCATCGGGCATGAACTTCAGGATCTTATGACTCCAAAGCATAGCACTACCCCAAGCAAACCATAAAGACTATCATATTCACAAATAATTGCCACCTGTGAATGCACTTACTGCTTGTTTCTATTAGAATAGCTCTCCTTCATGAGAGCAAAGACTCTATTTCATTACTTTATCTCCAGCTCTCAATTGGCACTCAATAAATATTTGTAGGATAATGAATGGACTAATGAACGAGCACTTCCGTGTGTTAGGCTCTCTGCCAGCTGTTGTAACAGGAAGTGAACTGCAGGGAAGGTTTCTAATGCAGAGAAGATTGGGATAGAAAGAGACTTGCAGTTCTCAGCATGGACAGATTTTTTCCAGGCATGCCCTGGCAGCAAGCACAGGGGTGCTCTAGGACAACATGATCCCCATCTTTCCATCTCTGCCATGAGTGATCCCCGCCCCACCTAGTGCCCCCACGCACGGCCCTGCTGTCACAGGGGTTACAGTGGACTCAAGATAAATGGCAGAATGAGCTTTCTCTTAACGGTGTCTTCTCATTCTTCTAGATTTACTTTTATTACCATATGTGTATGTATGAATGTTTTACTCACATGCATGTCTGTGGAGTGAGCCTTCAACACCGTAGTGTGTGTATGTGTGTGTGTGTAGGTGTGTGCAAGCACATGTTAGTGTGCACCCATTTGTGGGAGTGTGAGAGCATGCATACCATGGTGTATATGTTGAGGTCAAAGAACTCCCTTGAGGGTTGACCCCACCTCACCTTGTTTGAGGCAGGGTCTCTCTTGTTTTGCACTGTGTCTGCCCCACCAGCTGCCCATGGGCTGCCAGGGAATCTTCTGCCCCTGCCTCTCATACCCACGTAGGAATGCCAGGGCTATCGACAAGGGGACTACCACATCTGGCTCTTTACTTGGGCTCTGATTCAAAGTCAGGTCCTGACTTTGCACAGCAAGTCAAATTTTAGCCACTGAACTTTAGGTTTTTTGAGACAGGGTTCACAATGCAGCTCTGGCTGTCCTGGCACTAACTATGTAGACCAGGCTGGTTTTGAGTTCACAGAGATCTGCCCATCGATCTGCCCATCTCTGCCTCCCAAGGGCTGGGGTTAAAGGCATATGCCACCATGCCCAGCCCCCAGTTGTCACAAATCCCCAACCTGGCTTCTGGAGCATGCTGGGGAGTAGACTACTAGAAACAGAAAATGGCCCACCTGGCCTTCAGGGAGGTCAAAGCTCTGTGGAAAGAGTGTGTCCCATAGAGAAGGCACTGGCTTCCTGCTTGCCTTAGGCAGAACTTCATCAGTCCTGCAAACCTAGCATTTTCTCCTTAGTTCAAGAACCTTCTGTTTTGCTCTACACTCCTCTTCCCGACTGGACCCATTACTGGGATTTATGAGACAGGAGTACATTGGTGGATCTCCAGGCCAAGGTATGCCACAAAGATCACACCACACAACAGATCTCATGCAGGAGATTTATAGGTTGGGGGGCAAAAGGCCATCTTAGAGCGGAGACATGAGAGACAGAGACACAGACAGAGAGATAGAGGGCAAGATGGAGAGAACAAGAGAGTGATCTGTGATGACGATGATGATGATGATGATGATGTAGCCGCTGGCACTAAGTTGCTTAAAGCAAGCTGGGGGAGCCCCTGATTTCTAACACTCTTGATATCGACATTGAAAGCGGGTCTGAGAAAGGTGGGTATCAAAGCCGAAACTCTACCTCTAACACAGGGTCAGAGATGGGGGCGCCAGGGCTGACACAAAGTCAGCATTCCATCTGTCCTGAGTAGACTTTCTATTCCACAGGTTACTTTGTAGCAAATATTTCATTTCTGACCAGCTTCTTGGGACTGCAGTGCTGCCCCCTTTGGTTGTAGATTTGTGCTTAGGAACACAAATGTTTAAAGCATACACCTTAGAAAAAATCCATACTATGTATACCCACATTAATTCTCTCTCATTCAGCACACTTTATTATTATTATTATTATTATTATTATTATTATTATTAGCAGTAGCAGTATTATTATTGCTAGATATGAGGATTTGGTGTTTTTCTATTTGCTCCTTGCAATGCCCAGTGTGAGTGGTGCCTTAAACAGGGAACTGGAATCA